GCATTCGAGCTGAAGGGTTTAAAGTCCCAACAATCGCCGAGAAATTTTTGTCTGCAGGACGAGATGCGTGTAGCCTTCGTCGTCCTCATTTTACGTCGATCGATAATTTTGGGGGTCGGAGAGAGAGAATGGTCGTAATTTTTAGTCTCTGATTGATCGTGAGATCCATGTTTGGAAACTTTCCCTGGAAATTTGTTTTCATTGGTTTTCCCGGAAAAAAATTGATGTTTCCACCGTTGGAATTGTTGAGTTGGGATCATTTGTAAGAAACATCTGACAAGATTCGGCCTTAATAATGGTAAGAGCTTCTCTTCTCTAATCTGCATTGCGATTTCTTTTCATTGACCTTCTTCGATTCTCCTGTTGTCGATTCGTATATCTGTCGATTAAAAGTTTCGTATCTACAAACATATCGGCTATTTCTTGTAAGTGTTTCAATACAACGGTAATTTTTTCTTATCGTACAATGAAATGTAGTAACTAAAATATGTTGAAGAGGAATAGAAGAGAGTTTCCTGAAGACTTTCATGTTCAAATGCCCATGAAGAGAATGAAAAGAACTTGGAACAGCTTCCCTGATCTTTGTTTTCCTCTCGTATCTGAATATGGATGAGAAAAATGGATTCTGAAAGATTTCTCCTTTTGTGGGTGTTTTTCTCCATTTGATCTTCTTTCATCGTTTGTTGATGAAGTAATCTTGCGGTGCAGGCTTCTTCAGTCAAGGTAACAGTAGGGTCACATGTTTGGGTAGAGGATCCAGATGAAGCCTGGATAGATGGGGAAGTGGAAGAAGCTAATGGTGAAGAGATCAAAGTAAAGTGCTCGGGAAAGTCGGTGAGCCCACCTTTCAAATGTTCCTTTTCTCATAAGCAACTAAATAATGTCTTAGAAAAGGCAAATGATGTCTTCCCCAAGGATCTTGAGTTTTGTTCATATTGGTTTGAAATGTATCCCCAAACCGCTATTCGCCTAGGTTGTGGCAAAGGTAAATGATGTCTTCCCCAAGGATCCTGAGTTTCCTGAACTTGGTGTGGACGACATGACAAAGCTTGCGTATTTGCATGAACCTGGGGTTCTGCTGAATCTGAAATGCCGATATGATGCTAATGAAATATATGTAAGCTCCATCTTGTCAACCTTATCTGTCTTCATTCTTCTTTTGGTACACCCGCTTGTGAATACATCCCATGGTTGTCCACTGTTGTTTTGGTGATAATGCATCGTCTAATTTGCATTTATACCTTGCTTTCCATAAAAACTTGTAGTTGTTTCCTACAATCATTTTACTGAAATTTCTGGTTTTAAACATTTTTCTTAATGATGATTCCAGACATACACAGGAAATATACTGATAGCTGTGAATCCCTTTAAAAGACTACCGCATCTATATGACAATGAGGTAATGAAAAAATATAAGGGTGCGACTTTTGGCGAGTTGAACCCACATCCTTTTGCGGTTGCTGATTCTGCATACAGGTAGATCTACTGTTTTGGTTGATCAGCTTTTATTGATACTGTTTAATAAAATATCTGGCCTTCTCAATCACCTGGAATATAAAATCCAGGAAAATGATCAATGAGGGAGTGAGCCAGGCGATCTTGGTGAGCGGAGAAAGTGGTGCTGGGAAAACAGAGAGCACAAAGATGCTTATGAGATACCTTGCATACATGGGTGGAAGAGATGCAAGTGAAGGACGATCGGTGGAGCAGCAAGTTTTAGAGGTAGATAGTCTATTTGTCTATGTTCCAGCTGAAGACAGATTAAGCGAGTCTCCATATAGAGATATTTTCTGTTTTGCCTCTCTCATTGCTTTCCTGTTTTTTTCAGTCCAATCCAGTTCTTGAAGCTTTCGGGAATGCAAAAACTGTCAGGAACAATAATTCAAGGTGGTCATATGTCTCTTTGATTTGGTGCTTCTGCCATTTTATTATTCTGCTGAATCCAGATTTACCATAGTTAGGTAAATCTTGTGTTGCAGTCGTTTTGGTAAATTTGTGGAGCTTCAGTTTGATAATATGGGAAGAATATCCGGAGCAGCTATCAGAACCTATTTGCTAGAAAGGTCTCGTGTTTGTCAAGTATCTGATCCTGAAAGAAACTATCATTGCTTTTACATGCTTTGCGCTGCACCAGAACAGGTAAACATTGTCCCTTCTATGGCACAATAGATCATAATTATGAAGATGTCCAATGATATTACTCTTGTCAAATTTGTGCTGACAAAAAATGAGCTTCCGTTATGGGATTTCAGGAAACTGAGCAGTTCAAATTAGGGAAACCAAGCACATTTCACTATCTAAATCAATCAAATTGTTACGCATTGGATGGAGTTGATGATTCCAAGGAATACGTCGCTACAAGGAAAGCTATGGACGTTGTTGGGATCAGTTCCGAAGAACAGGTACTTTCTTCTAGTTATTTACATTATTGGACAAGGAACTCCACTTACATTTTACTACTTCAGGATGCAATTTTCCGCATAGTGGCTGCAATTCTTCATCTAGGGAACATCGAGTTTGTTAAGGGAGAAGAATCGGATGATTCAGAGCCAAAGGATGACAAATCCCGGTTTCATCTCAAAATGGCTGCTGATCTTTTCATGTACATTCTTTACTACTCTGTTCTCTTGGATAATGGTGTTTGGGTCTGCTGAAGTTAAAAACCCCTTGATTGTTTCTTTTTTGTAGGTGCGATGAGAAAGCCTTAGAAGATTCCTTGTGCAAACGGGTCATAGTGACTCGCGATGAAAGCATAACAAAGTCACTTGATCCCGATAGTGCAGCTCTAAGCAGAGATGCTCTTGCGAAGATTGTATATTCTAGACTGTTTGATTGGTAGGCTATCTACTGCTGAAACTTCTAAAAGGGACTAGGAATTATTATCCTTTGGCATTGTTTTCTAAAGGTTTCAACTTTCTTGTTCTCAGGCTTGTGAGCAAAATCAACAGTTCAATTGGCCAAGACCCAGATTCAAAATACATTATTGGAGTTCTGGATATTTATGGATTCGAGAGTTTCAAGACAAACAGGTGCTTAACCGGTACGCTTTTGTTTTCACTGACATGTTAAATTTCCTTTTCACAGGGCTTATTGTAACCCTGTCTTAGTTCCTGCATGTATGCTCACTGATTAAGCTTCAAACATAACAGCTGATGGTTTTATTGATGACTTCCTTCGTTTTCAGTTTCTTTACTTAGAACTTTCTTGTGGTTTGGAACAATATCAGTATTCCCATTTTTTGGTTGTTCATTGCAATCTGTGGTTCAACTGTTCACTAAGAAGTTTGTTTCAATGACTTTGCAGCTTTGAACAATTTTGTATAAACTTGACAAATGAGAAGCTGCAACAGCATTTTAACCAGGTTGAACTTTGATATTCATACCAGAGAATCAAATCTGATTGTTCTGCTTTTCTGCTCATCCATAGATATGCATAAATTTCTCTCTTCGACAGCACGTGTTCAAGATGGAGCAAGAAGAATATACAAAAGAAGAGATTGACTGGAGTTACATAGAGTTCATAGATAACCAGGATGTCCTTGATCTTATTGAAAAGGTATGCATTTGCATGATGTTTGGTGCTGGATGCTTTGTTCCTGATGCCTAGTATTTCAAAAATTCAGAATTATTTATGATTTTCAAGTACATAATATAGAGTTCTGTCATGCAGAAACCTGGTGGCATCATTGCCCTTCTGGATGAGGCTTGGTAATGTATCAGAATGCATTCACTCTTCATTTTTTGTGTGGTCTAGTTCTCTGCAAAAAAAAATGATGGGATTTGTGTTCTCCTCTCTCCAGCATGTTTCCGAGATCAACTCATGACACATTTGCACAAAAGCTATACCAGACATTTAAAGACCACAAGCGTTTCACTAAGCCAAAGTTGGCTCGTACAGACTTTACCATTTGCCATTATGCTGGTGATGTTAGTCATCTTCAATTACCTTGAAGAATTTCCCGGAATGCTGTTTTCCTGAAGTAATAGCAAAACTGTTGCCTTCATGATATGACCCTATTCTTAATCGATATCAGGTCACATATCAGACAGAGCTATTTTTGGACAAGAACAAAGACTACGTTGTTGGGGAACATCAAGCTGTCCTGAGCTCCTCAAATTGCTCATTTGTTTCAGCTTTGTTTCCACCGCTGCCAGAGGAATCTTCCAAAACATCAAAGTTCTCATCAATAGGTTCTCAGTTTAAGGTCTGATATAATACTTTCTGATAGATGCTGCTTATTTCGTGTAATTTGGTTCTCACAGTGTACCAAAATACAGCAACAACTGCAATCATTGCTTGAGACGTTGAACACCACTGAGCCACACTACATACGATGCGTTAAACCAAATAACGTTCTAAAGCCAGAAATCTTCGAGAATGTTAATATTCTGCATCAACTTAGGTGTGGGGTAAGATTTGATTTCTCAGTGAACCTTACACTTCTGTTTTCACAACTGCATTAATATTCTGCTTTCTCTTGATACTATGTAATTTCCTGTATCTGCTCTCAGGGAGTCATGGAAGCCATTAGGATCAGTTGTGCTGGATATCCTACAAGAAGGCATTTCAACGAATTTTTAGCCCGATTCCGCATCTTGGCCCCAGAAGCCACAAATGGAAGGTAGCTTCATCGACGTTTTGCTTCTGCATGTATTTTAAATTTCTCGGTCTTATTTGTTTAATGCTTATGGAATTTAAGGTGTCAGATTCACTTAAACCTGTTCTGCCTCCTGGTATTTATGTTAATAGCTACGATGAAGTTGACGCGTGCAAAAGGCTGCTAGCAAAAGTGGACCTCAAAGGTTTTCAGGTGCACTTATTAGATGGATACTTCTTTATTGTGATTTCCAGAATTAAAGTAAAAGGTTACGACACTTCTGCCGCTAGATATGTTTCTGGCTCAGCCTGCCTACGACTCTTACTCGACATTTTTGTTGTATACCTGGTTATTCCTTAATGATACAAGTAAAATTAGGAATTTGATGAACAATACTAGAGGGTCCTTAGTGATATTGCTTCACTGCAGATTGGGAAGACAAAGGTGTTTCTTAGGGCAGGTCAGATGGCAGAATTGGATGCTCACAGAGCTGAAGTTCTAGGCCGATCAGCAACAATTATACAGAGGAAAACACTTACATATCTATCACGGAAAAAGTTTCTGTTGTTGCAGTCAGCTTCAATAGAAATCCAAGCTTTGTGTAGAGGTAAGACATACTGTGCAGGTATCTAGGTCAGTATACTGTTGGCTTCAGATGTGATATCAGATGTCTAATGACACTTATGTATACTGGTTGCAGGAGAAGTTGTACGTTTTCAGTTTGAGGCCATGAGAAGAGAAGCTGCTTGTCTGACAATTCAGAAGCAGACACGGACATATATTTGCCAGAAAGCATACAAGAAACTATGGTTTTCAGCTGTTACAGTTCAGTCAGGAATACGTAAAATGGCTGCTCAAGTTGAACTTCAGTTCAGGAAGCGAAGCAAAGCTGCAGTCATTATTCAGGTAAGCTTAAGACTGCATATCGAAGAAACTGATTTGTGCTTCTTTGTTTGCCATATCTATTGACCGCATGTGGATCCACCGACATTACAGAGTCAAATCAGAAGATGTTTGTGTAATCGGCGCTACATAAGACTGAAGAAAGCTGCGATAACTACTCAATGTCACTGGAGAGTAAGAGTTGCACGCAGAGAATTGCGGAAGCTTAAAATGGTGAGACTATATTTTTACTAACATTTGAGTAAGAGTTGCAATTCTATTCTTCCATGAGAAACATATTCAACCCTTCATCCAAACTGAATGAACGCAAGAGCGAAGCTGTAGAAATCTGCCATCTCATTTTGTTTGGATCGAGCTTTTCCATCTCTGTCATCTTTTTCTCTTAAGGTTCTTGGTTAGGAAACGCAAGTCAACGATACTTCTTCTGATACAGCCAGTCCTATCACCAATTATGTAGTTAATTTGTTCGAAATGGTTTTTCTAAATATTTATTGTCTCTGCAGGCTGCTAAAGAAACTGGAGCACTTCAAGATGCTAAGACTAAGCTAGAAAAGCAAGTAGAAGAACTAACGTCATTCTTGGAGCATGAGAGACAGATGAGGGTACACATTTTTTTTTTCCATTAATAAGACTAAGCTGAATACACAATACATGTCTGGCTCAATTAATTTATTTTCGAAAATAAAGCGGCACTTGATTGCAATGTTATTTCCCGTATGTTTTGAGACCTTTGATCTACCAAACAATGCAGACCGAGCTTGAAGAAACCAAAACTCAAGAAATCAAAGCATTACAATCAGAGTTGACTGATATGAAAGTCCAGCTTGGGGAAACTCAAGAAACCAAAAGTGAGGAGATCTTAAAATTGCAGTCTGCTTTACAAGACATGCATGTAGAGTTGGAAGAACTCACTAAGGAACTGGAGATGACGAATGATCTTGCTGCTGAAAATGAACAGCTCAAAGTAAGATCTTTAAGAGTTTTCTATTAGATCCTTTTGTCCCTTTCTCTTCCGCTTCCGGGTCATGGATTGATGTTTGCTATTTTTACGTATGGTCGTGATTATTTATCTTTCTTTTTTACAAGGAGTTGGTGTGTTCATTGCAAAAGAAAATTGATGAATCTGAGAACAGATATGAAGGAACAAGCAAACTCAGTGAAGAACGAATGAAACAGGGGGTTCCGATTATTGATCAAGGGGCATTCAGCAAACTTGAAGCTGAAAATGAACAACTGAAGGTAAGATTCATGAATATCGCTTTCAATAAAGGCCATGGAGTCACAGAAAAGTAGGTTCTTCTGAGTTTTCGGTTTCCCTCTTGATATCTCATCAAGCATGACATCTATTAGGTGTTGGTGAGTTCATTGGAGAAGAAAATTGATGCACTGGACAGAAAACATGATGAAACAAGCTCAAACATCACAGAAAAGCTGAAGGAGAATGTTTCATTTGATCACGAGAGGATGAGCAGACTTACGGTTGAGAATGAACGGCTAAAGGTAAAATCTTATGGATTTAAAAATATGCCCATTTTTTCCTTTTCCTTTTCTTCGAACCTCGTTACTCCAATGAGTGACCCTTCTCAGGCACTGTTGAGTTCCCTGGAGAAGAAAGTCGATGAAAAGGATGGAAATTATTTGTCAGAAGGACAAAGAGAGGAGACAAACATGTCGAAAGATGAGAAACTGACAGAGGACGATTCGTTTGATAATGAAAGGGCCAAGAAACTTGCTGCTGAGAACAATGAGTTAAACGTATGTTTCCACCAAACGTTTCCTCGGGGTTTAAAGTTTGTTAATTTTCTCTCTTTCTAAATTTGATTTATATAAAAATTGCAAACAGAATCTGGTAGGTTCATTGGAAAAGAAAATAGATGAAACAGAGAAGAAGTATGAGGAAGCAAGTAGACTCTGTGAAGAGCGGCTGAAGCAAGTTTTAGATGCAGAGTCAAAGTTAATTGATTTGAAAACATCTATGCAAAGGTTTCTCTTTTCCCGAATTGTCCATCTTAATTTTTTTTTTCTTTCACATTTACCGGAGATGGCCCTATGATGTCTTTGATTTCACACCAGTCAGATCATATCAAGTAGTAGTTGTTTATGATTCTCTTTAGGCTGGAAGAAAAGGTCTCTGACATGGAAACAGAAGACAAAATTCTCCGACAGCAGGCACTGCTCAATTCAGCTTCCAGGAAAATGTCTCCACAGTTGTCATTTACCGGACCTCCGGTAAATATCTCTAGACAATTTCTCGTACTTTCATTTAGATTTTTTTTTAAAGAAAAAATATGATCATCTCTTTTTCCTCACTGCCTGTTGTATGCAGCCGCTGGAGAATGGACATCATGTAAGTGAAGGACTAGATAAACTGTTTCTTTATTAACTCAAATCATCTTGCCTTCTGCAGGTTTTGCTTTTTCAATAGCTATAACCCTTTTAACAGAAAACTCAATATTACAGGAACCCCTTGCTCCTATTCCATCAAGACGGTTCGGGACAATATCTTTTAGACGATCCAGGATTGAGCGACAACCCCATGTACATGCTAAATCGAAGCATCAGTCTTCCTGATACTAATTGCTAGCTTCTTTTGACTGGCTAAATTGTTAATGTCGTGATTATGATGATGCAGGAATACATTGATGTTCTTCTTAAATGTGTTTCACAAAATGCCGGTTTCAGCCATGGAAAGCCTGTTGCAGCCTTTACTATATACAAATGTCTCATCCACTGGAAGTTGTTCGAAGCAGAAAAAACCAGTATATTTGACCGAATTGTACCGGTTTTTGGATCTGCAATAGAGGTAACTTTAGAAGTTCTGAAATAAGATGGTTTATAGTATTTATGATCAAAGAACAATTGCAGTTAACAGACATGTTTCAGATGAACCAAAAAAAAAACTGAACGTTGGCAGATATTTCATCGTTTTCCCGATACTTCTCCAGCTTGAGCAATAAAAAAACTTGACAGTATGTTACTTAATATCTTTTTGCAGAACCAGGAAGACAATAATCATTTGGCATATTGGCTAACAAACACATCAACGTTACTGTTCTTGCTTCAAAGAAGCCTGAAATCTCATAGCACAACAGGCTCGAGCCCCAAGAAACCTCCCCAGCCAACTTCTTTTTTTGGAAGGATGACGCAGGTAATAAAATCTCTTATGATGTGTCCGGATTCTTTCTCATATGACGAATAGTCTGTATTACTGGAATTTGTCTGTAACTATGGGGAGTTCCTCCCACTGTGGTTATGTCTCAGGGTTTTCGTTCGCCTTCTTCTGCCAACCTTTCATCTGACATAGTGCAACAAGTAGATGCTAGATATCCTGCTTTACTTTTCAAACAACAGATTACAGCTTACGTGGAAACAATATATGGATTAATCCGAGAGAATTTGAAGAGAGAACTGTCACCCTTATTTTCTTCTTGCGTTAAGGTATACTGAATGTGCAGTTTCCAGCCAAATATCCTCAATCTCTTTGCAGTAGTTCTCTTGAACATTCAGATAGTTTCGGATCATTTGCATGATAGCATCATCTAATTCGCAAGTTTGCGTATATTTGATGGTTCAGGAACCAACGGATTCATCAGAAGAGTCATCTGAAGTGAATTCACTGGCTAAGCCTTGGCAAGACATCGTTGAACTTTTGAATCAGTTTCTAAGCACGTTAAAGGAAAATTATGTAAGAAATTTTATGTATTTAAACATAAAGGTGGTTTCCGCATCTCTTTGCTGCTTAATTTCCCTACTGGAACACTTTCTTTCAGGTTCCTCTGTTTCTTGTTCAGAAGATCTTCATCCAGACTTTCCAATACATAAATGTTCAACTCTTCAACAAGTAACTATTTCATCCCCTATCTATTTATGCATCTCAAAATCACGTTTGACACTGTTAGCCCAGTAAATTGAAGCTGTGGTGTATGTCCATGCAGCCTTCTCCCCCATCCCGAGTGTTGCACATTCAACATGGGCAAAGAGGTCAAGGCTGGATTAGATGAACTAGAATCATGGTGTAACCAAGCGACCGAAGAGGTAAATCAGTTTTCTGAACTCTCATCATGACAGAAAAACTAAAGAAAGCTTAAATTTATCTTTATTTTGCTTTGTGTTTCCCGATGCAGTTCATAGGATCTTCATGGGATGAACTCAGACACACAAGACAGGCCATCGGGTTCCTGGTCTGTCTCTTAAACTAATCTTTAGCATTCACCAGTCTGTCTCTTCTGTAGTCGTCTTGAATGTCCCTATGCTTCCTTTTCCAGGTTACAGAGCAGAAATCCTCGATAACTTATGATGATCTTACGACTAACCTCTGCCCGGTAGCATTCTGCTTCTCTGCCAAAGAACAATAAATCTATTAAGAACTAGGAATAGTCTAGGATCGAAAATACTCCTTCAAGAATCTCGTTATCTTACGCAGCCTTATACGAACTTTCGAAAAGCACATCGGATTTGATCATGTTTACTCTCTTTGGCATCCTCTTTTACAGGTTCTTAGTACTCAGCAGTTGTATAGAATATGTACCTTCTGCAAGGATGATGGTTGTGAAGATCCGAGTGTATCACCAGACGTATGTTCTTCCTGATCCGCTCCAAAAAACCTTCCCCGGGTTCTGATAAACAAAAAAAAAAAGCTCTAAATCTCTTCCTTTCGGGTTTCATGTTGCATCTATGCAGGTGATTTCAAACTTAAAACTACTAATGACAGATGAAGACGAAAAAAGCCGTTCGTTCTTGCTAGACGATGATTCCAGGTATTAACCCCCCTCAAACATAAGTTATATATGATCTCAGGAGCTTCTTCACTTATAAATTGTCTTTTTGTTAACACAGCATCCCCTTCTCAACCGACGAAATATCGACATGCATGCAAGAAAAAGAGTTCACCAACGTAAAACCAGCTGCTGAGCTTGCTGACAACCCCAACTTCCCCTTTCTCAAGGAGTGAGTTGGGTTTCTACCTTGCACCTTGCAGCCATTGATTCGCTTCGAGATGTACATTAACCCCTTTTTTTAAGTTAGGTTTTGTAGAATATTCATAGGTTCCCTCTCGTAGTTTGAAAGGGAAACGTGAGCTCGAGTATACGTCTCTTGCGTTTTAAGTCACCAAGTTTTTCATTCATTTTGTTTGGGTTGATTAGGTCAAAGCCAACCTTATAATTCACTTGTAGTCAAGAAAGCTGAAGCCTGAAGGCGGTCGCTTTGAATCAAGGATCATGGATTCATTTCATAGGTTTGATTTTGGGCTACCTACCTATGACGCCCATTTTCGATTTGGGGTTTTGATTATTTCTTAACAACACCATCATAATTATGTTTAAACTAAACCGGTTTATCTTACCGTTGATTAGTGTTTTCTTTATCAACTCAGTGATCGTAGTTCATATCATTAACTACTATTTTATTATATGTGGGCTTCCGTTTAAGATTATGTTTAACCTGCAGATTTACAGAAACTGTACGTGTGTCTCAATCATAAGAACTGAAAACAGAAAAACCAAGAAGGAACCAAAAGATTCAGAGGATGACAGATCAGGCAACAAGAATTGAGTAAAAAAAAAGTTATGGTCATCAAAAGCTCGTCCCCCCCCCCCCCCCCC